CTGAGACGAGGGTGAGGGGGCTCCAGACATTCTAAGGGCCAGGGGACTTTTGTCATTCCGATTGCCACTTATGTGGTTTACAGAGGTCAAGATAAACATTAGTTTATACATTATTTGGACAGGTGTGGGGTCCACATAATTTTAGGTTACTTGGCGCCAGGATGGAATTATCTGGGGGTGCTTACTTTGGTAAACAAAGGCCAGCAATTCTGGCAGTTACAGATAAGAGAAAGTACGCAGCTTGTCCTCGCTTTGCATTTTGCAAGGTAATCTTAGTAGTTAACAGAAGCCGCGGCTAGCAGTCATTGTGAGGAGAATGGAAACAGTTTTCCCATTTTAAAATGGCATTGCCGGGCGCGGTGGCTCAAGCCTGTAATCCCAGCACTTTGGGAGGCCGAGGCAGGTGGATCATGAGGTCAAGATATCGAGACCATCCTGGTCAACATGGTGAAACCCCGTCTCTACTAAAAATACAAAAAATTAGCTGAGCATGGTGGCGCGTGCCTGTAATCCCAGCTACTCAGGAGGCTGAGGCAGGAGAATTGCCTGAACCCAGGAGGCGGAACTTGCGGTGAGCCGAGATCGCACCATTACACTCCAGCCTGGGTAACAAGAGCGAAACTCCGTCTCAAAAAAAAAAAAAAAAAAAAAAAATGGCATTGTACTGGTTCTAATTCTAGGTCAGCTATATCACAGGGCGACACAGGAGGTGGAGGTTGCAGTAAGCTGAGATTGTGCCACCGCACTCTAGCCTGGGTGACAGAGTTTGACTCTGTCTCAAAAATAAATAAATAAAAATAAAGAATAATAAAGATTCAGTTGACTAGGCTAAAAGAAAGAATATGATAAAGCATGCAGATGAAGAGATGCATGGGGCGAAGTCAGCAAGCTTTCCGATCCTAGTAGCTTCAGTCCTTATGGAGTTGGGCACAGCACCCTTCCGGCATGTGGAGGTGATCACCAACCCCAGACATCTCTGAACACAGTCCTTTCGAATTTTTATGGAAGCTTCCATTTGTAGGCATGATTAATTATATCATTAGCTGTTGATGACCAAGTCAATTTTCAGCCCCACTTCCCTCCCTGGAGTTGGGAGCTAGAACTGAAAATCTTAACCTTCTAATCAGACCCTGATTTTTCCCACAAGCAGCTCCCACCCTTCGGCTATCTACAGGCCCTCAGCCTCCAGTCACCTCATTAGCACAGAAGATTGCAAGGATTGAAGGAACCAGGTGTCAGGAAAAGATGAGGGAGACATATTTCACAATATCACACCTTCCAAGGGTATGACCCTGTGTCTAAGGGGTAACACATGTTATAAATCAGACATAAAACAGACAGTACCAGCCCATGAGTTTTCTGTGGATGTGCTTTCCCCCTCAATACCAGGAAATGTCGTAACAGAGACTAAAACTCAGCTCTTGCTGTTCTTTTTAGTGGCCACTAAGGTGGTGTCAGTGTGTAGAGCTAATATTTAGATAAAGACAGGTGGGCAAAGGCACTATCTGAGACACGTGAATTATTGTTGGTGTCTGATTTTGTTTTATTCTGACCTAATTAGTTCTACTGGCCTGGCACCGTGGCTCATGCCTGTAATCTCAGCACTTTGAGAGGCCAAGGTGGGTGGATCATGAGATCAGAAGTTCAAGACCAGCCTGGCCAAGATGGTAAAACCCCGCCTCTACTAAAAATACAAAAATTAGCCAGGCATGGTGGTGCACACCTGTAATCCCAGCTACTCGGGAGGCTGAGGCAGAATTGCTTGAACCTGGGTGGCAGAGGTTGCAGTGAGCCGAGATCACACCACTGCCTAGGCGATAGAGTGAGACTCTGTCTCAAAATTAAAATAAAATTTAAAAAATAAGCCGGGCACGGTGGCTCACACCTATAATCCCAGCACTTTGGGAGGCTGAGATGGGTGGATCACGAGGTCAAGAGATCGAGACCATCCTGGTCAATAAGATAAAACCCTGTCTCAGGCCGGGCGCGGTGGCTCAATACTGTAATCCCAGCACTTAGGGAGGCCGAGGCGGGTGGATCACGAGAGATCGAGACCATTCTGGTCAACATAGTGAAACCCTGTCTCTACTAAAAATACAAAAAATTAGCTGGGCATGGTGGTGCGTGCCTGTAATCCCAGCTACTTGGGAGGCTGAGGCAGGAGAATTGCTTGAACCCAGGAGGCGGAGGTTGCGGTGAGCTGAGATCATGCCATTGCACTCCAGACTGGATAACAAGAGCAAAACTCTGTCTCAAAATAAATAAATAAATAAATATCAATCAATTAATTAAATTAAAAGCTGGCAGATCATTTCAAGCCAGGAGTTCAAGACAAGCCTGGCCAACATGGTGAAACTTCGTCTCTACTAAAAATACAAAAATTAGCCAGGTGTGGCTACACACACTTGTAATTCCAGCTACTTGGAAGGTTGAGGCAGGAACCTGGGTGGCAGAGGTTGCAGTGAGCCAAGATGGCCCCCACTGCACTCCAGCCTTGGTGAGTGAGCGAGACTCTGTTTAAAAAATAAAAAAAAAAAGGAAATAAAAGTAATCTTAGTTTTAGAAGATTTGAAAATCCAAGGAAAGCAGAAGGAAGAAAATAAAATTATCTGTTAGTTCATGCCTGGGAGGAATACTTGGGATTTTGTAGTAGACTCCTCTTGGATGTCTATTTAGTCCTATGTAACAAGGCATACTCTACTAAGATGTGAGTGTACTGAAGATTTTGTTCTAAGCTTCCTTTTCACCTAAATGTATTGTCAGTATTTTAGCTATCAGTCATTTTTTTCTACCGTGTTTTGTTATTTATTTATTTTTTTGAGACAGGATCTTACTCTGTCACCCAGGCTGGAGTGCAATGGCATAATCATAGCTCACTGCAGCCTCAACCTCCTGGGCTCAGATGATCCTCCCCCTTCAGCCTCCCAAGTAGCTGGGACCACAGGGGCGTGCCACCATGCTCAGCTAATTCACTTAAAATTGTTTTCTAGAGACAGGATCTCCCTGTGTTGACTAGGCTGGTCTCAAACTCTTGGGCTCACGTAATTCTTCCACTGCGGCCTCCCAAAGCACTGGGGTTAGAGGTGTGAGCCACTGTGCCTGGCCTTGTACTGTGTTTTTAGAAGCTGTATATATTTACTTTATATGCTAGGGAACTATTGATGTTTAGTTATTGAAGAGGTGAGTTAATGTGGAAAATAATAAAATATGATATATGTCTAAACACTTCATTTTAAATTTAAAGAACAGTACATTTGAGATGGAGTCTCACTCTGTCACCCAAGCTGGAGTGCAGAGGTGCAATCTCAGCTCACTGTAACCTCCACCTCACAGGTTCCTGAGGAGGCTCCTCCCTCAGCCTTCTGAGCAGCTGAGACTACAGGTGCCTGCCACCATGCCCAGCTAATTTTTGTATTTTTAGTAGAGACAGAGTTTCACCATATTGGCCAGGCTGGTCTCGAACTCCTGACCTCATAATCTGCCCACGTTGGCCTCCCAAAATGCTGAGATTACAGGAGTCACCTTGCCTGGCCCTAAACAACAGCATATTCACTTTATAATTTTTTTTTTTAGATAGAGTCTTACTGTGTCATTGAGGCTGGAGTGCATGCAGTGCAGTGGTGCAGTATCAGGTGAATTCACCATCGACCTCCTGAGCTGGAATAATCCTCCCATCTCAGCCTCCCTACTAGATGGGACTACAGGTGCATTGTTTTGTATATTTTGCAGAGATGAGGTTTTTACCATGTTACCCAGGCTGGTCTCAAATTCCTGGACTCAAGTGATCCGCCTGCTTCTGCCTCCAAAGTGCCGAAATAATAGGTGTGAGCCACCTCACTCTGTCTCACTTTGCGATCTTTTGGCTACAGGTGTAAAGCTCATTTTTGGAAAGTGGGTCCACTTTACCAGTTTCCTGTCTAAACCATCCTTGTAATATCTAGTTTTGATTTCTCTAGGATGGATGAATAAAGACAGAACATAAAAGACCTTTTTTCTTTTGAGATGGAGTTTTGCCTTGTTGCCCAGGCTGCAGTGCAATGGTGAGAGATCTCAGCTCACTGCACAACCTCTGCCTCCTGGGTTCAAGCGATTTTCCTGCCTCATCTTCCTGAACAGCTGGGATTACAGATGCACACTACCATGCCTGGCTAATTTTTGTATTTTTAGTAGAAATGGCATTTCACCATGTTGGCCAGGCTGGTCTCAAAGTCTTGACCTTAGGTAATCTGCCTCCCTTGGCTTTCCAAAGTGCTGGGATTACTGGTGTTAGCCACAGCACCTGGCTCAGAATGTAAAAGAAATTTGAAGACACTTAATACACCCTCCCAGATCAGGTGCAAATATTTCCCGGCTAGACCAGGTGTGATGGCTCATACCTATAATCCCAACACTTTGGGAGGTTGACAGTAGGATCACCTGAAGCAAAGAGTTGGCCAGCAGGCTGGTCGACAAAGCAAAATCCTCATCTTTATTTTTATTTATTTATTTATTTTGAGACGGAGTTTCGCTCTTGTTACCCAGACTGGAGTGCAATGGCACAATTTCAGCTCACCGCAACCTCTGCCTTCTGGGTTCAAGCAATTCTCCTGCCTCAGCCTCCCGAGTAGCTGGGACTACAGGTGCACACCACCATGCCCAGCTAAATTTTGTATTTTTAGTAGAGATCGGGCTTCACCTTGTTGACCAGGATGGTCTTGATCTCTTGACCTCATGATCCACCCGCCTCGGCCTCCCAAAGTGCTGGGATTATAAGTGTGAGCCACCGCACCCGGCCCTTTATTTTTAAAGAAAGAAAAATTTCCAGTCTTTCTTTCTTTCTTTTTATTTTTTTTGATATGCAGTCTTGCTCTGTCACGCAGCTGGAGTGCAGTGGCGTGATCTCAGCTCACTGCAACTTCTGCCTCCTGGTTCAAGCAATTCTCCTCACTCAGCCTCCCAAGTAGTTGGAACTACAGCATGTACCACCATGCCTGGCTAATTTTTTATTTTTATTTTTTTATGAGGGGAAAGCACAAATGCAGTCTCCCACTACCACAAATTATGCAGTCCAGTTTCCCATATCTAGGGAAATCTCAGGGGTCAGCACATCCGGAGTGCAATGGATGAGCCTCCCCCTGGGAAAACCACCTTCATGATCATGGTACCTCCCCTGCCAGGTGCTTTCTGTATTTTTAGTAGAGACAAGGTTACACCGTGTTGGCCAGACTGGTCTCAAATTCCTGACCTCAGGTTAACCACCCACCTCAGCCTCCCAAAGTGCTGGCATTATAAGCCCATCCACTGCACCCACCCTCACACATATCTGTTTTTCAAAGCTCTTCACTCTTGATATGATTTATTTATTTATTGGAGACAGGGTGTCATGCTGTGGCCCAGGCTGCAGTGCAGTGCCGCAATCACAGCTTACTGCAAACTCCGTTTTCTGGGTTCAAGTGATTCTCGGGCCTCAGCCTCCTGAGTAACTGGGAGTAAAGGCGCTCTTGGGTAATTTCTGTAGTTTTTTTTTTTTTCAGTAGAGACCGAGTTTCACCATGTTAGCCAGGCTGGCTTCAACCTCCTCATCTCAAGTGATTCTCCCATGTCAGCCTCCCAAAATCCTGGGGCTACAGGCTTGAGCCACCCTGCCCAGCCCATTTCTGCTATTATTTAATTGTATTTTTAAATTGTCAAACAATTTACATTTGGAATTGATATTTAGTTTTACTTGTAATGTAGCTTTCTGCTGTTCTTTACCAGGGACTATGTTTATAAAATGTTGTTCAGAAAGAATTGGCAACAATAGCTTAGAATGCAAATGGGCTTGACGCCAGATGGCCTGGGGGTCAGTATTGTCTGAATTAGATACTGGAATTGATGACCCCTCGCCCCAGGCACCTTCTGTTCAAATGATGATAGTTAATGGCATATAGACAACTACTAAGGAGTCTGTATCTTTGTATACAGCACTGGGCCCTGAAAAGAGTCATTGTTTACTGAATATTTATGGCTGGCTGAGAGTCCTGCAAAAGCCTCACTCTGCTACAATGTTCTCAGGTGAATGTCAATTATGACTTTAAAGTTCGTGTACAGGTCACAAACTCTATTCACAGGTGCTACAGATAATTTTGAATTCAAGGCTGGGCTTGTTGGCTCACACCTGCAATTCCAGGATTTTGGGAGACCCAAGCAGAAAGATGGTTTGAGTCCTGGAGCTCCAGACCAGCTTGGGCAACATAGGGAGAGTTCATCTCCACAATAAAAAAAAAAAAAAAAAATTAGCCAGGTGTGGTGACAATGCCTACAGTCCCAGCTACTCAGGAAGCTAAGGTGGGAGGATCACTTGAACCTGGGAGGTCAAGGTTGCAGTAAGTCCTGATGATGCCACTGCACTCCAGTCTGGGCAACAGAGGGAGGCCCTGAGTCAAAAAGTAAATAAACTGTTGTATCTATGTCTTCCTATCAAATTCTATTATTTGAACTTAGGACTATTTTCATCAAATCCTGTATTTACACCATCCATAAAGAATTTATGTGATGGAATGAAACTACCGTGAGTCCCCTGTGGTTCTAACATAGAGTTGTGCTTTGTCCACCAGGCTGGAGTTTAATGGCATGATCTCGGCTCACTGCAACCTCTGCCTCCTGGGTTCAAGCAATTCTCCTGCCTCAGCCTCCCGAGTAGCTGGGATTACAGGCACGAGCCACCATGCCCAGCTAATTTTTGTATTTTAAGTAGACACAGGGTTTCACCTCTTTGACCAGGATGGTCTCGATCTCTTGACCTCATGATCCACCCACCTCGGCCTCCCAATGTGCTAGGATTATAGGCGTGAGCCACCGTGCCCGGCCTGCTGCAGTTCATTCTCCACAGAAACTGAGTTTCTATCTCACTGAGTGACCTCCATGTGCTCATGTAGCACCAAAGGCCTTTTCTATCACAATCATCATTTTGATTATCAGTTTAGTGGCATTTCCACATGAACAGTTGGAAAGACTAACAAAAACTTAAGTAATATTTCTTTTGATTATAAAAATAATCTTAGGCCAGACGCAGTGGCTCACACCTGTAATCCTAGCACTTTGGAGGGCTGAGGCTGGCAGATTACTTCAGGCCAGAAGTTCAAGACCAACCTGGCCAACATGGTGAAATTTCATCTCTACTAAAATTATAAAAATTAACTGGCGGTGGTGGCACATGCCTGTAATCTCAGCTACTTGGAAGGTTGAGGTAGGAGAATCACTTGAACCTGGGAGGAAGTGATTGCAGTGAGCTGAGATCTCACCACTGCACTCCAGCATGAGGGACAGTGAATGAGACTTTTTTCTTTTTTTTGAGATGGAGTCTCGCTCTGTAGCCCAGGCTGGAGGGCAGTGGCATGATCTCAGCTCCCTGCCACCTCCGCCTCCCAGGTCCTGGTCCAAGTAATTCTCCTACCTCATCCTCCCACATGAGACTGTTTTTTAAAGAAAAGGAAGAGAGAAAAGTAATCTTAGGGGCCGGGTGCAGTGGCTCAAGCCTGTAATCCCAGCACCTTGGGAGGCCGAGGCGGGTTGACGAGGTCAAGAGATCGAGACCATCCTGGTCAACATGGTGAAACCCCGTCTCTACTAAAAATATAAAAAATTAGCTGTGCATGGTGGCACGTGCCTGTAATCCCAACTACTCAGGAGGCTGAGGCAGGAGAATTGTCTGAACCCAGGAGGTGGAGGTTGCGGTCATCCGAGATCGCGCCATTGCACTCCAGCCTGGGTAACAAGAGCCAAACTCCGTCCCAGAAAAAAAAAAAAAGTAATCTTAGTTTTAGATGATTTGGAAAATCCTTGGAAAACAAAAGGAAGAAAATAAAATTATCTGTTAGTTCACGCCTGGGAGGAATAGTTGGGATGTTGCAGTAGACTCCTCTTGGATGTCTGTTTAGTCCTATGGAACAAGGCATGCTTTACTACGATGTGAAGGACCTGAAGATTTTGTTCTAAGCTTCCTTTTCACCTAAATGTATTGTCAGTATTTTAGCGATCAGTCATTTTTTCTATTCTGCTTTTTTATTTATCATTTATTTTTTCTTTAATTTTAATATTTATTTATATTTAATTAATTAATTAATTAATTGATTAATTTATTTTTTTTGAGATGGAGTTTCACTCTTGTTACCCAGGCTGGAGTGCAATGGCGCGATCTCGGCTCACCGCAACCTCCGCCTCCTGGGTTCAGGCAATTCTCCTGCCTCAGCCTCCTGAGTAGCCGGGATTACAGGCACGCGCCACCATGCCCAGCTAATTTTTTGTATTTTAGTAGAGACGGGGTTTCACCATGTTGACCAGGATGGTCTCGATCTCTGGACCTCGTGATCCACCCGCCTCGGCCTCCCAAAGTGCTGGGATTACAGGCTTGAGCCACCGCGCCTGGCCCTATTTATATTTTATTATACTTTAAGTTCTAGGGTACATTTGAGATGGAGTCTTGCTCTGTTGCCCATGCTGCAGTGCACTGGATACAATCTGGGTTCACTGTGCCCTCTGTCTCCCAGGTCAAGCCATTTTTCTGCCTCAGCCTCTGGAGTAGCTGGACCACTGGCACCCATCGTTACACCCAGCTAATTTTTGTGTTTTTAGTAGAGATGTGGTTTCACCATGTTAGCCAGGCTGGTCTTGCTCTCCTGACCTCAGGATATTTGCCTGCCTCGGCCTCCCAGAGTGCTGGGATTACAGAGGTGAGCCACCGTGCCCAGCCTCATTTTTTTTTTTTTTTGAGACAAAATCCACTCTGTCATCCAGGCTGGAGTGCAGTGGCATAATCATAGCTCACTGCAGCCTCAACCTCCTAGGTTCAAGTGATCCTCCCACTTCAGCCTCCCAAGTAGCTGGGACCACAGGTGCATGCCCCCATGATCAGCTAATTTTCTTTTCTTTTCTTTTTTTTTTTTGAGACGGAGTTTCACTCTTGTTACCCAGGCTGGAGTGCAATGGTGCAATCTCGGCTCCCCGCAACCTCTGCCTTCTGGGTTCAAGCAATTCTCCTGCCTCAGCCTCCCGAGTAGCTGGGACTAAAAGCACGCATCACCACGCCCAGCTAATTTTTGTATTTTTAGTAGAGTCGGGGTTTCACCTTGTTGACCAGGATGGTCTTGATCTCTTGACCTCGTGATCCACCTGCCTCAGCCTCCCAAAGTGCTGGGATTATAGGCGTGAGCCACTGCGCCCGGCCCGATCAGCTAATTTTCTTAAAATTGTTTTGTAGAGACAGGATCTTCCTATGTCACCTAGGCTGGTCTCAAACTCTTGGGCTCACATAATCTTGCCACCATGGCCTCCCAAAGTGCTGGAATTACAGGTGTGAGCCACTGTGCCTGGTCTTGTACCATGTTTTTAGAAGCGGTACGTATTTATTTTATATGCTAGGGAACCATTGATGTTTAGTTATTGTAGAAGTGAGGTAATGTGGAAAATAATAAAGTATGATATATGTCTAAACACTTTATTTTAAATTTAAACAACAGTATATTGGTTCACTTTGCAATATTTTCTTTTTTTTTTTTTTCTTTGAGATAGAGTCTTACTGTGTCATTGAGGCTGGAGTGCATGAAGTGCAGTGGTGCAGTCTCGAGTGAATTCACCATCAACCTTTTGGGCTGGAATAATCCTCCCATCTCAGCCTCCCTACTAGATGGGACTACAGGTGCATTGTTTTGTATATTTTGCAGAGACGAGGTTTTTACCATGTTACCCAGGCTGGTCTCCAATTCCTGGACTCAAGTGACCCACCTGTCTCAGCCTCCAAAGTGCCGAAATAATAGGTGTGAGCCACCTCACTCTGTCTCACTTTGCCATCTTTTGGCTACAGGTGTAAAGCTCATTTTTGGAAAGTGGGTCCACTTTACCAGTTTCCTGTCTAAACCATCCTTGTAATATCTAGTTTTGATTTCTCTAGGATGGATGAATAAAGACAGAACATAAAAGACCTTTTTTCTTTGGAGATGGAGTTTTGCCTTGTTGCCCAGGCTGGAGTGCAATGGTGAGAGATCTCAGCTCACTGCACAGCCTCTGCCTCCTGGGTTCAAGCGATTTTCCTGCCTCATCTTCCTGAACAGCTGGGATTACAGATGCACACTACCATGCCTGGCTAATTTTTGTATTTTTAGTAGAAATGGGGTTTCACCATGTTGGCCAGGCTGGTCTCAAAGTCTT